AGTCAGTAACTGAGTGCAGTGTCTGAGCCTGCAGGGAGCTAGCTATCTAAGAGGAGCCTACACCCCAGAATTTGAGGAGCCTCACTGTGCCCCAGCACCTCTCCCACCAACCCCAGGAACAGCATGTCTCACCAAGAGAGCAGCCCTCCTTGGGTTGCAGCATTGCTACTCTTCTCAGAAATTAATACATTTTATTGTTTTTTTACAAAGATAGCAATGTTCGTTGTAAAAAAAAAAAAAAAAACTCCAACAGCACCCCATCTACTTTTAAAATGTCAATTCCTTCCTACCAGAGAGTGGGACACGGGGTCCCTCTCCAATGTGCCAGTACAGAAGTCTGGCTCCCAGGCACGTGGGGGTGGGGTATAGGCAGTGTCGGGGAAGGAAGTGATGCACAGATTTTTTCTGCCACCTAGGTCTGGTGCTCCCCAGCTGATTCTTCAAGGAGTGTCCTTCCCTATTTGCCAAATCCCTAGCTCCCTTCAACTGCAACAGAATTCCCTATCCCAGGAATAACAGCTGGGGGCCAGAAGAATGCCACCCAGGATCTCCCAGGGACCTCTGTGTAGGACCCCAAAACCAGCAAGAAGAACGATGGACAGGAGACTCAAACAAAAAGGGGGTGAGGCAGGGCAGAGGAACCCAGACCTCCTGAGCCTCTAGGCCTCAGGGAAAGGACTGGGGAGAAGCACCAGCTGAGAGAGGGGAGCGGGGAGGTAGAGAGGTGGAGGAGAAGTGGAGGAAGGAAGCCAGCTGGGGAAGGCACCTGAAGAGGCTGCAAGCTTGGCCCAGGCACCAGAAGGAGCAGGGCTGAGCTGAGCTCAGAGGTCCAGGTCTGGAGAGCGGCCTGAAGTGCTTGCCTGAGGACCCTAGGAATACAGAACAAGGAAGAATAACCAGATACAGGATGGGGCTCCGACTTTCCAGGTTCTGAGCACCAAAGGGGATGCTGAAGCTCCTGCCAGAGCTGCAGGATCACTGTGAGTAGAGGACCCAAGGGCTTGGCTTGGAGATACAGGGAGCTCCTGGGGGAACCTGAACTCCAACTCCCACCCAACCATAGGCACACCTTGGCTCCCCTAGAACCCAGGACAGGTGACACACTTCTGATCCTAGAGGGCCTGCTGCCCAGCAGGGTGGGGGTAGGGAGACTCTTTACCCATACAAGTGGTGACGGGGGGACCTAGCTTTCCGAAGGACAGAGGCTCAACAAGTCAGTCTCACTTGCTGAGTCGCTAGAAGGCCTGGTGAAGGTGGACGGGGGGAGCCTGGAGGGTCCCTGGAGAAAGACTGGATCAAGCCCACACCAGGAGAAAAATCAGCAAGAATTAGAGATGGCAGTTAAGCAAGGTGCTAAGCAAGATGAGACTAGAGGGAGGACAGTCTTCTTTCCCCAACTCAGGCCATTTTGGAGAAATCCTCTGGAGACCTAGTGCTAAGGAGCATCTGAAGAGAGCTGGGTTGGTGGAGCCCTTTCCTGACTGGCCCTCTCCCCACTCCTACAACTGAGCAGAGGACATGGACCACCATGTGGCCAGGAAGCTCCTTGTGGCAGAGCATCATGGGACTCCAGCCCAGGACACAGCAGCTCACTGTAACCAGACCTGCTCAGCCTGCAAAGCTGAAGCCCACTAATTCCCTGGGACTGGCTGAGGCCAGGACAGAGACTGGTGGCAGGGATGGAACCTGGGCTGTGAGCTGTGGAGGCTCTGTGGGACCCAAAAAGGGCCAGATCAACACCTGGGGTTTGTCTGCACTGGAGCCCTGGCAGGGTCAGGCCACAGGGAAAGCAGTTTAGGCCATGGCCCTGCCCCTGTCAGCTGGAACTCCCTTCCCCTCTCCCCCATACACATCCCTCCCATTAAGGTTCCTGAATCACTTTACAAGGTTGTGTGGAAAGACAGAGGATTTTCCACGTTCCTAGGATCTTGACCCGGTTGAGATGACAGTGAGACGGCGAGTGTAGACTGGCAGTGAGAGCATATGGCATAGGACACATAGGTCATCGGTTCACTGCCAAGTGAGGAATCCCAGGTCACCGTGAGTTTGTGCCAGGCGGGCTCAACACCTGGAGCTCTGCATGTCCTGCTTAGCCTGGGCCAAGGATCTCCCAGAACCAAACGACATCCCAACATGTGAGCGTGCACACACACTCAGCAAGGCCAATCCTGCACACCCCTGCCACGTGGCCGTTCCCGGCTACAGGGGCACCCAGCTTTCCTCACCCAGCAAGCTCAGGAGATAGAACTGCAGGACAAGGTCTCCAGAGAGGAAAGGATATGTGTGGGAGCCCAGTGGCGGGGCACAATCCGCCTTCTGGGCTAGGCACTGGGCCGCCCAGGAGCCGGGATGGCTTGGCAGGCATCTTGGCTGGGCCAGAACCCGGATGGGAGAGTAGATCCAGCACTGCCTCCCCCCAACACACACACACATCCACACACGCACGGGACACACTCTCCGCCTCAGCGCTCAGAAGCCCTGAGTTCCTCACTGGATAGGCGCGGGCACGATCTCCCCGCCAGGGCCCCATCTCCAGGCCTGGGGAGCTGAAAGAGCCCAACGCCCCCAGGACGCCAAATCCCACCCCATAAAGAGGGAACGGGAGGAAAAAATAAATAAATAAAGGGCGGGAGAAAGAGGAAGGGTGGGACCTCCCAAGAATTAACCCTCCTTCCTTGCTCCCTGCGGAGCTGCCCGAAGCTAGGGGAGGGGAGGCGGCCGCAACTGCTTGGATCCTGGCTCCGCGGGATTCTGCCTCTCCCTGCAGACCCGCCCCGATCCCCCGGAGAGGGTGCGGGCTCCCAGAAGCCCATCGGTGGACCTCGGAAAAGTTCCCGGACAGAGACCCGGAGTTATTGGCACTGAGAGACGTTATTTGTGGAATGAAAATTGAAAGGGGGAAAACAAAACCCGGCAGGATTCAGCAGGGGCTGTTCCAATTTTCTTTGAACAGAAACTGGGGCCGCGCCTATGGCCCGCAGAAAAGCGAGGGCTTGGGGGCCGGGAAGGTTGGAGCCTGGTGTTTACTTTCTGCTTCTTACATGAATAATAAAAATAAGTAAACTTGAAAGAGTCAGAGAGGAGAAAGACTGAAATGCAGAGCGAAGGCGACCAGCGTCCGACTGGGCAGGGGTGGAGGGCGCCCTGTCCCATGCGGGGGTCACTGAAGAGTTCTGCCGCCCCTCCCGCGCGCGCCGCCTGGGTCCTTCCAACCGAGCTCCGACCTGCGGGGTCGCACTGCCCAGGTCCTCCTGTAAGTACAAACTTCCTTCCCCCCAGAGCCCCAGGGGCCACCAACCGTCAGCACGCAGAGCTGGTCCACGCTGCTCTCCCCTCTGCACACCCTGTCCAGCACCCCCACACCGTTCTGCGCTCCCCTGCCTTACCCAAAGTACCTAGTGGCCAAGTTTCTTTCCTTACTATCTTCCTTTCTGTTAGTACTGAGCAGCAGTCCTCCTTCCCTACCTCTCAAACCCTTCACCAAGGCACTGTTAGTCACCCAGTTACGCAACTGGGGCGTCCAGCCCACCTCGCCTTCTGCTGGGGACATTGGGGTTGGACAGAAGCACACGCACACTGGACACACGCTAAGGCACCAACACACGCACAGTCACATTACGGCTCGCGGAGTCATGGAGGCTGCATCAGCCACACACTCAGCCGCGCCACAGCCGCTTACCCCGGCACATCCCTGGGCCCTGCCCCCAAGACACTCATTCAGATCCCCGGACAGACCAGAGCACCCTCGCTCACCCGAGCCTGCGGGCCGGAAAAGGAAGCAAAGTCTGTAATGACGGCGCTTTATCCGAGGGGTCACCGGCCCACCCGCGCACACACACCTTGTACACACATCTTCGCTGAGGTCTCTCAGTCTCTCTTCGAGCCCCTTTCTGAGTCAAACGAAGGGAACGAAGGGCCTGTCCTGTCCTGGTGCTGTCAAAGGAGAAGCTAGAGTCGGGCGAGCACCGGCTCCTTAGAAAGTGCTGGGGACCGGGACGCCTCGGAAGGCCGAGCGCTCTGCCCAGAGCCCCCCACCGCTTGGCTTCCCAGCGCAGCCGGCTTCTAGCCGCGCTCACCTCCGCGCTTCGCTTCTCCCACCCCAGGGCTGGGGTAGGGGGCAGCTCCACGGCGGCACCGGGTGGGGGTGGCACAAGGAAACGCCCACCTGCTACCCCGGTCTGAGGAGGCGGACCCCGCGTGAGGGCCTCGGAGCCGCAGGGGAACCGGGCGTTCGCTGCCTACCAGTCTCGGCCTCACTCGACCCTCTTGGTTCCTGGCCCCGGCTGTCTGTCTGCACGTGTTTTCTCTGCCCCGGCGAGTGCGGGTCACTCCATCAGTCCCCTGGCCTCACTCAGGCTCATTGACCACATTCCAGGCCTTGCTCTCCCAGGAGCGCCAGGACCGGCCTGCGGTCGGCGTTCGTGAGTGTGGGTGGAGGTATGAATCTGGGGGCGGGGTGGAGCACTGAACCCCAGGCCCGAGTCCCTGCCTCCAGCCCCCGACCCGCCAAGCGCCGGAGCAAGGCCAACCTCCTTTCTGCTTGGTCTCTCTAGGGTCGCCTTTCTGGAGCACTATCGTTATTGATCCCGCTGAAAGAGCCAGAGCGCGGAGCCGGCGCTCCCCCGGGGACGAAGGGAGTGGGGAGGAGAGTAGGCGAGGGTTAGGAGGGAGGGAGTTGATAAACTTTAGGGGAGGACGTAGGACAGCACCTCAGGGCCGCTCCAGCCTCCCTCTGCCGAGCTGGGTGTGGGGCTAGACTAGGGGTAGAGGAGTGGGGCCACCCTCCCACCCGCCCGGCGCAGCTCCCTCCGAAGCTGCTGGGAGTCGGAGACCCACGACTCCCGCCCAATCAGCAGGGACTGGTGGAGCAGCCGCGCGGGGCGGGGGCGGGGGCGGGGCCGGAGGAGGAGGGGTTGGGCGGGGGCACGAGGGGCGGGGAGCCGTGGGCTGGGCTAGCGTAGGCTGGCCAGGCGGTGGCGAAGGCGGCGGTGGCAGCCGGCATGGGCGATGGGGGCGCCGAGCGCGACCGCGGACCCGCACGCCGGGAGGCGCGCGGCGGGCGCGGCGGGGACAGAGGCGGAGCGGAGGACTCGGGTGCTGATGCTGGCCTCCGCAGCCCAAGGGAGATTGCAGGGACCTCTGCTTCTAGCCCCGAGGGCTCCAGGGAGAGCGGCGCCGGCAGCGACGGCCACCCCGGGCTCGGTGAGGCAGACCACTACCGCCGCATCCTGGTGCGAGGTAAGCGGACAGCTCGCGGCGCTGGCCCACCGGACCCCCACCCTACCCCTTCTGCTGCCTCCACCTCCCAATTCATATACTCAACCAGTCAGTCATCACTCAGTCATTCATTCAGCAAATACTATTCTGAGCGTCTATTGTGTGCTGAACCTTGAGCTGAGTGCAGGGGACAAAGCGGCGAATGGGACCAAAGAGATCCCCGTGTCACTGCCTTACAGTTCTCAGCCTCTCGGGCCGGCCGCTCACCCTAGGCCCATCCCAGCCGGTTACGGTGGCGAGGGCACAGACGCGAGTGAGGGATGCCGAGAGCCAGTCCCCGCCCCGCGTCCCTAACGGCGGGTGCGGAGAAAAGCGTCACGAGCGCTCGGCGGGGTCAGGACGAGGAGGGACCAGCGTCCGGAACCACGGGAGGAAAAGGCCGGCGCTTCCCCGCCGCCTGGCCAGCCTCGTTTCCCATTCCCAGCGACGCAGACCGCACCGGCTGCTCCCAGGAGAGGGCACCGCGACACGGAGGGCGGCGTGCGCGGCGCTTGCCGGCCTGGGCTTCGCTCTTTCGGCTCCAACTTCCTCGCGGCGCCCGGGCCCAGCCGGCTCTCGGTGCGGCCTTCTCGCGGCCTGGCCTGTCGCGGCTCTCCCTTTCTCCCTCGCCCTTCGCCCTCCTCTCTTCTTTCCTGGCCTTTTCTCTCTGCCGAGCTCTCCTCAGCCCCCTCTTCGTGCCAGCGCTTCTGGAGTGCGCCCGCGTACCCAGCTCTGCCTGGCCTCCTCGCTGCGAGGCTGACACTTCCCCGACCCCCAAAGCCAGCCTCACGCCAAGCTTTAGACTCAGCTTTCGCGGGATCCGGGCCTCGCCCAGAGAGATGGGAGGAGAAAGGGGATTCCGGGGGTCTCGCCGTTAGCCGGTCCCTGGGAGCCTGAGGTCTGGAGCGCCGGCACCCGCAGACCGAGCAACCAGGAGAGGCCACACGCGGGTAACAGCCCCGCCCCCAACCCCGGCCTCCTTCTCCAATTCCCTGGCCCGGCTTCCTCCCGCTGCCCTTTTATTGCTTCTGCTTCCTGAGCGCCCTCGTACAAGCCGCGAGGCCTTAGGAGTCCACCGGCCAGAGCTGATTTCCCCCGCCACCATGGCCTGGGGAAGGGTAACCAGCTTCACGCTGGCCCCAGGACACTCCAGCGCCAGGATCCCGACTTTGTCTGATCTGACCTAGGCCACCCACACACAGACAGGGACAGGTTGGCCTGGTTTCGCACAGCCTCCCCCACAGCAGCTGGGTTTGGGTGGCTCTGGAAATGGGGCACAGGGCAAGTGTTGAGCGTGGAGGCAGACGAATGTAAAGTCGACTGATGACTGTCTTGGACACAGACTCAAGGACCCTGGTCTTCTGGAAACACTCCTGGTGTCAGGTGTGGTCACCTAAAGATGGGGCATTAAATGCTGTTTTGAGGGCAGGCTTGGGTCAGGCAGTTACAGGACTGTGTATGAGGATGGTCCCCACCCAGCAGCAATTCTAGCAGGTGTGTGGACCTGTTGGGCACCTGGGATTAAATTAGATCCCTTCTCATAGACTGTAGGATGTCCTGAATACAAGGTGTCAGCAGCTAGCTTGGAGTTCCATTGAGAAAATCTGCAGGGCTTCCAGAAATGAAGAAATCATCTCCTTAAGCCCATACTCCCAGATTAAGACTCTCAAGTCCCTGCCTGTGACACTTACCACCTCAAGCCCCATCTGTGGGTATTTGTGAGTTCTGGACAATTGTGAGTTTTATGCCCACCTATCATCCCTTCCACTCTACTAAGTCTGCATGTAGAATAAATAAATTCTGTGTACAGATGGCCAGTTTAAGAACTCCCAGGTGTAGACTCAAAGAAGGTAGGAGGGACGTAGCATGGAGGCCTCCCGTGCTAGGAGCAACCCACAGCTGGACAGAGATGGGCACCCCGCCCCACACACACACTGTATGTGGGGCAGCTTGTGTGCATGGTCAGGAGACATACTTTTATAAATGCATGTATGCACGTACAGCAATGTCATTATATTTGTACAATAAAATCGAAATACAGCATGGAGGGTGTATTTACACACCTAAAAGGAATGAAAGGTAAACAAGGCCCTCATAAATCCCTCTGCCCTTTCTCATTTAATGAAAAAGAGGTTATTTCAGGCCTGAGATACCTGGCATGTCATTTAGCCCTAATTCCTCCTAGCCAGGGTCACCTGCGTCACTCTTGGCCCCACTGGGGCTCAGGGTAGAGGCTCTGACAGATGAAAGTCCTGGCACTGGTCAAGGGAAGTCTGTAGTGCCTTGGCCTCAGGATGAATGTCCTCCAGTGTGCTTTAAGCAGAGAATCCATTTTGCCCTTGACCTCCCAGGACACATCCTCTCAAAGTACTTTTGGAGCAAATCATAAAAAGGTGGAAGGGAGGTGTTTGCCATCGCAGACTGTTAGGTTGCTGATGGGGTGAGAATTCTGGAAAAGAACCCCACTTCCTCTGGGTCTTTGCACTTCTTTCTGTTTCTTTTCCACACTGATCTGTTGGGGGGAGTTCCAAGGCACAGCGGAATAGAAGGAAACTGTGTGTACTGGAATTAAATGAAGTTGGTTTGGAATACCGGCCTTAGAGCCCTTTAAATTTGAGCCAGTTTCTTTGCCCCTCTGTGCCTCAGTTTCCTCATTATACACAGAAACCCACAGCTGTCACTTTGAAAGTCAGTGCTAAAGGTCAGAGGTGATGTCTATAAAATTGCAAACACCCAGCAGTATCTCCAAAAATATTCTGTTGAATGAAAGGGGCCCGCTCTGAGGTGACCCACAAACCACTCAGGGAATGGGCCTCCTTCCTCGGAAGCCCCTCCCAGCTCAGCTCACACCCCTGTAGGGGACTTGGTGTCTTTTTGCTTTGGCAAAATGCTGCCCCTGAGTTGGGAGGTGAGCAGCCAAGGGGTTGAGAGCCAGTCTTTGGAAAGGAGGATTAGTGCCACCTTGCAGACCACGAGGTGTGGCCTTCCCCAATCCCCTTGAGGAACCCTCACTCCACCAATTGCTCAAGTTTCCTGCTCCCTCTGCGAAATGCGGGTCAGGGAGCCAGGGAGGCCGAACTTGCTGCATCCCCACCTCAAAATGGAGGCCGCTTCAGGCCGCACATGGATGCAAACAACTCGGCAAGGATGACAGGCGTGTGTGCACAACAGGCATGCCCGCACAGCCCCCAGCGTACCCAGCCACGCTTCTACTGGACCAGACTGCCGCGTAGGCCACCGCACACCTCTGCGTGCGCAGCCCATTGGTCAGTGAGGAGCATGGATGGGGGATCCTTTTGTTTTGCATTTGGAAAGGGTGCGCAAACCACGAGCCCAAGGCAGCTGGACGGACCGCCTCCCAGCCGTGGCTCTGACCGCACAGTGCAGACCAGATGCCGTGGCCTTTTCGGCGGAGCCGGGATGCCGGCAGTTAGAAGACGTGGACCAACTTTCACCCAAAACTTCCAGCAACCTCACAATCTGTGCTCACACCCGCGCACTCGAATGCGCCTGTGTGATTCCCAGATTAATCCGGATGCAAATTCAACAGCCCTTCTGGATAGAGCCGGCAGGGTCGTCCGCTAGTGTCACCAACTTTTATGAACAGTGCTCTGCGCCGCTACCTGCTCATCCCAAGTGGTCCCTTACGCCTCTGGGTGTCAAAACCCCATTCTGGCTGCATCCTCTGTCCTCAACCCAGTGTGAGCACCTTGGACCCGGTGAAACAGGATCAGGGCTGCCCCCAGAGCGCTCCCCTGCTGTGAAAACTGAGGAGTTCCCCTCCTCATTTCCACACTTCTCTTTCTGGGAGCAGGAGGACAGGAAAAATTAGAGATCCCTTGACTGAGTGAACACTCGGCCCCCACACCACCATTCACTAGCTGAGATGCTTTCACCTGGGAACTTGATGGATGCACCTGGTGGCTAAGGACACAAGAAAACCCAGGAAGACCAGGGCCTCTGGCTCCTTCTGGCAATTCTTGCTTTGGATGTGGGTGTGGGGAAGGGAGGCATTGAATTTAGTGGGGGCAGTGCTGGTGTGGTCCAGAAGAGGGAAACTCTGAACGCTTACAGAGGGCACAATAGCATACACCAGGCAGGGCCCTGGCTGCCAGACTCATCCAAAGACGCTGGGCAAGGGGCCAAGGCTTCTGGGGCTTGAGCTGAGAGCGGCCTGGGGGGGAACAGACTCCCCCCTCCAGCAGCCAGATCTGGGCTCAGCTTCACTTTGAATCTGCTCACTTTCTACTTGGATTTACAGAAGCCCCTGGACATACAGCGGCTCAGCCCTGACCTTGCAGGCCCCACCCTACAAGTCCCGCAGCTCCACAAAGGCACACCTGCCCACTTGCCCAGCGGGCATTTTGGCAAGGGAGAAGACGGGGCAGATCATTGTATCTAAATGAACACCGAATTTTGAGTCCCAGCTCTTGGGCCTTCTGTGGACCTCAGGACCCTAGCCTCCACGAGAGTATGTTAATAGATGCGGTTACCCAGGACCAGGCCCCAGGCAGCAGCTGAAATGTTTGAATGGTTCATGCAGGGGACCGCACTTTGGAATTTTGGTTTTATTTTAATTTTTAGTTTGGGGGCTTGTGCAGATGTATTAGGTTTCTTTTTTTATTTCCCTGGGATTGTTTTGTTTTCTGTTTATTATGTTTTTCCTTTTGCTTTGTTTTGGCAGAAGGACCCACATTCTCATTAAGGGTCTGGACTAGGTGCCATCCTTTTGGTCTTTATTTTTCCCTTTATATACATGCGCCCTCCCCCACCCTAACACACACACGGAAGCAGCCCCCACAACCAAATGTGTTGTCTTGTTGATGCGTCTTGCGTGCACTGTTTGCATTTTCAGGGAACTATGCAAGGCTCCTTGTGTTCTCATGCTATTTTTGTTGTTCTGGGCCATAGCTTGGGTTCCAGTGCCTGTGGCCCCACTGCCCCCGTCTCCCGCGTGTGCGCCGCACCCACGTGCAAACACA